AAATTATTCACAAACCAATCTCATTTTATTTTTAATTGATCAGTTTGTTGATGTTGTTGTTTTTGTGTGACAGACATCGCAGGATTCCTGATCCTTATCCCTCAATATCGTTCGTTTGGGTGCACTCGTTTCGGCCTCCATGGCCAGCAAGGACGGCTGTCAGTCAGCTGATAATCGAGTTGTCGTAACTCTGGGTATAAAGGGACTCTAGTAAAAGTTCGCGAGAAACACGATGGTGCCACTGGTTTTCTCTGAAATCAACTCCCAAGCTCAAAAAAAGCTCTCAAAGTGAGGCCAAAATGGAGGGGATATCCCACCCTACCCTGAGAGTCCACCTCTACATCAAAACAAACTCTACTTGCAAAGATAGAGAGCAAATACATTGGCAGGGTTGCCACTTTATTTGGGGACTCCAAAACTGAAAACACGGCATCACTGCTAATGCATTTACTCCCTATCTTTGCGTAGAGAGTTTGTTTTGATGTAGAGGTGGACTCTCAGGATAGGGTGGAATATCCCCTCCTTTTTGGCCTCACTTTGAGAGCTTTTTTTGAGCTTGGGAGATGATTTCAGAGAAAACCATTGGCACCATCGTGTTTCTCGTGAACTTTTACGTAAGAATCAATGGTCAAATCGCAAATCCCTCACACATGCAACATCTCCATTGGCGAATAAAATCCGTATAAATCCTCTTGCAGAGATTGTCAAGGAATGCTGAGGACGTATTATGAGAATTGAAAGCTATGTTTTGGATTGTTAATATTTTAGAGTGAGCGCACGTTTTTGAGCTCACATACTCGTATCTTTCGGCAGTGCGATTTTTCTCTTTATTTTATTGAATAAAATTTTAACATCTAATTTAAGTTCATTGACCAAAATTACATGGAATAGGCGCCCCAAGTAGCATTTTTCAAAGTTAAAGTTGCAAGAAGTTGAAACAATATTGGTTAAAATACGCAACTAAGTTGCAACTTAGTTGCAACTCTTAGTCAACATTTGGTCGATAAGTGCCGATTTTCGGCGATCTGATCGGAAGAAAAGTCGCAACTTATAGCAATTGAATTCCATAAATCTTGCAACTTACCGACGTTGCTAAAATCATCCCTGCTAAAAATGACCATGTTGGTAACAAGTTGGTCTGGCCCAACATGGTAGCAACAGGGAGAATGGAACCTGTTATCACATATGATATCAACGTGTTATCGCCGTGATATCAACGTGTTACCGATATGATATCACACTGAAAAAAAAGTTCTAAAATGCTTAAATTTAGGCGCGCTGCATACGTTCTTAGGCATAATTTTCATCGTGGACACCAGAGAAGTGCCGCTAAGAGAATCCGACAAACAATGTACGCCAGAATTAAGCCGCGCTGTGCCTGAGTTCCCAAACGGTCACCCATCGTGGCACTATCTACGCCCGACGTTGCTGAACTTCGGTGATCGCCCGTGTGTCGTTGCCACTCCGCCACGGACGCTCGCGTGGGGGAGACGGCTAATTTAGCACTAATAAACGTCCCCAGATCTAATTCAATGATTAGAAGCAATGATATTCTTGCAATTTTGTACATCATTCAGTTTCACAATGAAGGTTACGAAAATTATATAAAGTACATCAAGTTTTTGAAAGAGAGGAGTACGAACAACACATGAAAAAATAAAATAAAATATGGACGGATATATAGTTACTAAAAATGAAAATATTAAAAACGAAATAAGATAAATAAATAACATAAATCAATGAAAAATGAATAATGTTATTAATAATGTATTATAATATATTATATTTTATTATATTATATTTATTAGATTAAGTAAAGACCAGTCACGTGACGTCCGTAACAGTTTGCGAAGAAGGCCGCGATATTCAAATTTTAGCTAAATGTAAGGACCGGGAACGATATTGAAGTTGGAACATGTTTCAACTTAATTGCAACAAGTTCCAACAATGATAGCTCCTTCGGGGGAGAGAGTAGGCAATCTGCACGTCAATCTATCAGTTGCAAGAATTCAACGATTTTTTTGCAAGTTGTTGCAACCTCTGCTACTTGGGGCACCTACCTTGCCTTGTTCGGTAAATATTTCCAAAAAAAAATCTGCACCCTTCCGCCTTTCTTTAACCGCCGCGCCAATTGATGAACTTAAAACTGGGCAAATATAACTCATTAGGTGATCCTATTAAAATATTTCTATACCGTGAGCAGGCATACGATGGTCACCATTTTGCATGACACGTCTCATTTTTTAGTAATATTTATCTTTTTCATTTAATTTAGACTCAACGACTAAAAAAACACGGAAATATACACCTTTCTTGCCTTGTCAGTTGATATTTTTTTAAAAGATGCGCCTTTCCGCCTTTCAAATGTAGCCGCCATCTTAGATTTCGGGCATCCCCTTTAACGGGCGGCGGAGGGGGGGGGGCTTTTTTAACTTGATAAATGAAATTTACATACTAAATTACTCAGGATTTGATACACCTCGCTCGCATTTTTTACGTGAAAATCTTAATAATTCACCCTCCTGCCTTTCAAATTTAGCCGCCATCTTGAATTTAGAGCACCCCCTTTGGTCGGGGAGCTGTTTTGACATCATCAATGAAATCTACGACCAAAATTACATAAGAAGTGATACCTCACTTACCCAATCACGTAAAAGTTGAAAAATGACCCTCCTGCCTTTCAAATTTGGCCGCCATCTTAGATTTGAGGCACCGTCTTTGACCTGGGGGCTTTTTGGACTTCATTAATGAAATCTGCGACCGAAAGTAAGTACGTAGGGAATGATACCTCACACGACACTATAGAAACATTTTAAAATACCGAAATTAGAGTCCCTTTATACTGAGAGTCAAGACAATTTGAATCCATTTCTGATTGGTTCCCGTATTTTAGGCCTCCACAGTGTCACAAACGGGAATAAAGATTACATTTTCACCAATTGCAAAGATTATAATCTGGAATGGACCAGGGAATTACGGGTTCGGCAAGGAACAAACGGAATGAGAGGAGGAACGGAGAAAGGCATTTGAGAATGGGCCGATCAAAGATTACGAAAAACTAGAGTCCCTTTATACTGAGAGTCAAGACAATTCGGCTCATGGATGTCACAAACGGGAATAAAGATTACAGAAATTGAACGTTTTTCGTAATCTTTGATCGGCCCATTCTCAAATGCCTTTCTCCGTTCCTCCTCTCATTCCGTTTGTTCCTTGCCGAACCCGTAATTCCCTGGTCCATCCCAGATTATAATCTTTGCAATCGGTGAAAATGTAATCTTTATTCCCGTTTGTGACACTGTGGAGGCCTAAAATACGAGAACCAATCAGAAATGGATTCAAATTGTCTTGACTCTCAGTATAAAGGGACTCTACGAAAAACGTTCAATTTCTGTAATCTCTATTCCCGTTTGTGACATCCATGAGCCGAATTGTCTTGACTCTCAGTAGGGACTCTAACCGAAATCCCATACGGCCTTATTATGGACGCCATTTTGAATTTTAGGCATTACGGGGGGTGTTCCGGGGTCCGACCTAGAGTACTTTTATAGACGGAGTATGGCCATTTCTGTGCCGGATTTTCATTGGTCGCGTGAACATAGGCTGACACGATGTTCTTACGGCCATAAATAAACAAACAAGATGGCTGTTATCAGCAAGCAAGTTTGAGGTTATGCACATCTTACACCCTCCTGTGATAAAGGCGAAAGCCCATTTAACAGTGTTCGTGTGTTTTCTATGTGTTATTTTTAGATATGCTAATTTAAATTGGTACTGCCTTATGATTGAAATTTTTGTCAAATTTAGTTTCCTATCAATGTCACGGTGAGCCGCCATCTTGTTTGCTTATTTACGGTCACAAGAGCATCATGAAGCCTGAAATCTTGTTGACCAATCAAAAAGTGGCACAGTTTTCCTGTAGTATAAAGATACGAATGGCCATACTATATGTCTATGAAGGTACTCTAGTCGGACCGTGATAAACTTTTTGTATGTTGTTCAGGAGGACCTACTGATAACGTTTACGTAGGAAAAAATTGTTATGCAATTTGTTCCAGGTCAAACCGAATTACTCCCTGACTAAATACATATCAGGTAAAATTGCAGAGGTGATGGACTAAACTCATGGGACACCCTGTATCAATCGCGAATCTCTTTAAGGTCTACAAGCATACACGGCGGGAATTTCGAAATGACATGGTCTCGCTTTCTCCTCTCACAGTTAGCTACAGTTAAAACTTAAAGGAATCTAGTATATTATTTCTAGCGATGATTTGCAATGATTAAAATATCATATTTTCCCTGCTTATCGAAACAATTCAGCATGTCTTAACTTTAAAAGGTTTATAAATACGGTAAGTACAGCGTCTCTCAAATTAAAATTGAATTTCGATCATTTCTTCCGTCTTTACCATAAAAGGTAATATCATATCAGGCTTTCCTCTGATTGGTCCATTCACGAGATTGCAAGGATGACAAACAAATTCTTTAATGTAACCGATGACCAGTGATTGTTTTATAGACAAAAGCTTGGGAAATTGAAAAAAATATGAATGTACCTAAAGTTAGGTTAATAATGTTTTCAGGTGGCTCCTAGTAAAACGTAAGGATTTTATGCAAATATCAACGGGCATTGCAAACAGTTGACTGTGGAAGTCTCGTCCTCGTCCTACTCCTACTAGCGAGATATCGTTGCGATCGCTGGGAAGTAGTTCTACAAGTAAATGGTTCAGAAAAAATTCGAACGTATGCTTCAGGAAAACACAGTAGCCTTAAACTTGCGGAAATCTTAGTTTCACGAACAACTGAATTTAGTGAATTTGATCTCATGTTTTATTAAATTTAACATCCGACAGGAATTTGATGTAGTAGGCACGTCAAAGACGCACTGTGATTGGACGACTCCGCTTGGACTAATTACAGGTTTCAGATCCTGTCCAATCACAAGCGCAGAGACGGAAGTCGAGTCGCGGAGTAATATTGCTCGCTGATTTTGAAATGCGTATACATTTCTCTCCCTCTCTATTCAGTGCTGCCGAGAGGTCCGTTTGACGTCATACCCCGCCGTCGTTGTTACGCGTAAACTAAATAATCAGTGTTTTATCAGTGCTAAGTTATATTGGCTTAATTCTTTCATTATGGTAAGTTTTAATTTACACTTTACCATCATCATATACCTTTTCGTTCGCTGAGTAACCACCCTAACGCCAAAGTCTAGGACATTACTTCACGACCATTATGCCGGGTCCGCCATTTAAACCCGGATTCCTTATTTTGTCCGTCTTTTGTTATGTTTTGCGAATATCAAAGTGTGAGCTTTATGCTCGAATCACTCCACTGTCCCAGAACTCGTTTCCAGCCTCCATCTGTTGTTCCCTCCACTTTTATCTGCAGATCCCACCTCAGTTATCAGTCAATGCATGCCTGATATACCATGTTCTCGTCCCTGCAGAGCAAGAGTTACCTTTTGCTTTAGGGGAATAACAGGGTCTCTTAACAGTTGAGTGTAATCACTGTTTCTTGTGGTCCTTACGGTTTCATTGTATCATCCATTGTTGCTTATTGAGGTACATTGTTTTTGCTCACAGGCGTCGCTAATTGGTTACTTAGAGACAAGGCCTGTCAGACGTTCCTAAACCTTTTTTTCTCGACCTTCATGAAGTTATCTTTCCCGAAGTATTACCTTTCTCATCAGTCAAATTATGGCGCTGAATTGTTACCAATAAATACAACGGACATACTTATTTCTCTCTCTCCCTCCGAAGATTCAATGTAGTGCAGTCATCACTCTATCCTAATCCAAATTTTTGCGGTACTAATATAAGGCAATGGTGACTCATCCCCCTGGTAAGCAGTGCTTGCTCACCCATTTTGTTCCTGGCAGCAAATTAGGCATCAGCTAAATTGCTGTGTGGTTTGCTCATCACACAAGGCCAGGAAAAATTAATTTTGTCACTGAAGTTACTTTGGTTCCTGTAGGGTGAAATTTCTTTGAGTAACCAAGGATGGAAAAGGACGGACATGGTATAATAGGGCAATACCACCTGCTCCTACCAGGCCAATGGTTTTCGGTTCTTTTCAGTCTTCCTGTAAATGCTGAGGATCTAATGACGGTACTGTGTTCAGAGTGTTTTTTACTTTCAAGAAAGTAGGATTACGGAAGATTGTACTTATTTTTACTTAAGTTCAAGGCATGATAGACCTTACTAGCCAAATTTATGTGGCTGTATCTCTTATTTAACCAAGAACAAAAGTATCCATTAATAAAAATTGAGTCATACACATGGAGAAAAATGCAACCTGTCATTTCTGCACATTGGAAGGGAATGACAAGGTGCAGTTTATCTCCGCAAGAAACATTGCTACACCCTCGAATGTATTTAGGCTTTGGCCGAGAATGGGAAGGTGGTATATATGCTATTAGTGGCCATGTCATCATAGGGATTCTCCATTATATTGAATTCGATCCAAACAATAACATTGGCAGAACCTCTTTCATCTCACCTTTATTGTCTGATAATTTTATTATGAAATGTCTCAGTTAAGGGTCGTAAGTCTAGATAATAGAAGCTTTGTGGGTGTAACTCATGAAGGCCCTCTTTTTGAAGTGGCCGAAGATTTGACTCTACTTAATGACTTTAGCACTCTCCGCGGTAAGGTGTTGTAGATATGGCCCTGGTGAAGAAAACTTTCATTTCGATTTTTAGAGTTATTTGCACTTTTTGGATGTCACGGTTAGAACATCTTTTTGTTATAGATATAGCAGAGTCAGGAACATCGCAGCATTTTGAAGTGTTTCCCTCACATTTTCACCAAGAGGAAGGACAAAAAATGCAATTTGTCTTGTTTTATTCATTCGAAAAGAGAGGCAAAGCAATGTATTGATTCTTTTCTCAGAAGTACCCTGCACACTCCTTATAGGAATGTGTACCACAATCGATTTCCAATTTTTTTATTACATTAAACTTGTCTTTTGATGCGGTACAAATGTCATCATTGCGCCAACTTTCTACAAATCACCGCTCCTGAACAATTCACGTTGGACAATTACTTGGATAAGTAAAGCTAATGCGGGGGTTGAACAAGGCAAACCCCAGCCGGTTATAAGTGAGGAAGAGAGTGGGAGTGATTTGGAATCCGAGGTAAGACTGGTAATGACGGTTTTCCTCATTTTGGGCAAGTGTTGTAAAATATCGCCGCGCTGGCCTTAATCATTCAAGTAATTATCACTTTGTCCATTGACATAAGGAGTGTGCAGGGTCCTTTCTTGCAAAAGTGTTGATCATTTTGAGGGAAAAGATATGCTGCAATGTAAACCAAACGAAAACCCACGCCTCCTTTTCTCTGCATGCTAGTAAAACTGTGAATAGATTGATAGCTGCAGCTGTTTGTCCTCTTCCTGTCTTTAGCACCATAAAGTAGCGATAAAAGGCAAAAAGACTCTTTCACTAACCACGCGTAGTAATTGAATAGTAATTTCTTTAATAGCCGAGAGAGTTCATTGTAAGCATAACAACGGAAAACGAAGGTGAGGAGGCTTGTCAGTACGGGTGTTAGCAGGTGATAATAATATAATATGTAGCGTTGGCTGTGAATTTGTACCATATAACCGGTATTTTCTACTCATTAATGCACTGGTATTGACTCATACAATTAGAGATGGAAAATTTCACGAAAGCTGAAACCTCTAGGGATGTATTCAGGAGGCGAGGGAACACCTAGGAAGAGTGATTCTAGATTTTAATATTTTTCACCCAAGCCTAATACTTCCACACATTTCAAACTTTTTCGTTTGGTTTAGAAATTAGGTTGGAGCTTTTCTCTCCGAATTCTCCCTTGTGCCCCCTTTCATGTATAGCACTTCAGTAGTGTAGCACGATACTGCCGCATCAACAGGAAGACAATTTGAAACGCTTCCGGACCACCAATTTATTCCTAATTGCGACAAACATAAAAAAATTTCAAATTTTGTGAAATTTATTCAAGCCTATTGAAAGGAGGGGAATTATTTCCAAACGGAAACTTCGGGGTTGAAAAATCAATTTAACTGGTGTATGATAAAATGTTGTGCACTGTATAGGTAAAACCTTCAATTTTGGGAAATGAGATCACTTTTCGTTTCAAGTTTCTCGATTCGCAAGATTTTTCAGTTTTTCTGAAGGCATGTCGAGAGCAGTGATTTTCGAGGTTATGTTTGGAGTAATTTTTATTCATTACACGTTGCATCATTATGATTTAAAACCACATGGAGTTACAGTTAAGTTCCTCAAAATATCAAACAGACTTCAAAAAACAGGAAAGTCCAAAAATACGCAATATTTTTCTTCATTTTGTGAAGGCATGTGAAAATGTAACATCCGCAACAGAAAAGCTACTAAACTTAATGCCATTTAACGCAGGAGCCAGTTTAGGAGTTTGTGTTTGGTGAACGATAGGACATGTTCTTCATTGTTACTCCAGTAGTGTTAGAACGTATTTAGACACTTCAGTTATCATGTCATACAAAGTCGAAAAAGTGTAACATCCGAAACGGAGAGGACGTTACACGGCTCTAGCTAGAATTAATCTGACATTCAACTTGTTTGATAAGCTCATACTAAAAATTCAGGTACACTTCAGCAACTCGATTAGGTTTTAATTTATTTTCACTCTTAAAGGTGTTCAATTTTAAATTCAATTTCGGTAAAACGATCCTAATTGTTTTCTTAGATAGTTGATACATTTGTCCTGATGATGTGCATTTAAATACAATTTAATTATTGATCGTAACTACTTTTAACCTCTCTTCGTGTTCGACAGCACGGTTATCATATTTATCCTGCACCTCCTACTGTAACAGGGTTACTATAGTGTACACGCGGGGGCCTATATTGGGAATGCGGCTTATTGTTTCTATCTATCGATGCCCGCGAAAATCAGTTTTTCTTCATTTTTTAACACGTTATTATGAAATATTTTCGTGTGCTGCAGAAAACTCGAAGGAAATTTTCTGGGCAGTGCACTTGGTCAGTTTTGGATTTTTTGGGGATTGTCTAGATTAAAGTTTTTTGTGCCGCCTGAGTTTGATGGAATGATTTTGACAGGGACCGGCACCCCCACTTTTGAAGGTGGATCCCCCATGTTACCTACCAATGGGGGCAGTAGGGGCCTCGGGAATATGAAATTCAGATTTCTTGGGGGTCAATTGCCCTTTCATTTCTGCCATATCCGACTTCGTTCGACCTAAAATAACTAAATTAATAGCACTATACGGGTGATCTAGAATACCCTGTATGTTTCTTGAAATGCGCATTTTTACACTAATGATGAACGTTACATCTCCTAACTTTGCCGTTCTGTTCATCTCACATATAATTTGTGCTTAAATTTATTTTTGGTTGTATTTTAAAGATAGAAACTTGGCTCTACCATCACCTCAGATATTTACTTCGGAAAGTTTCTCACAGCTAGTCGCATTGAATCTAAGGTGAAATTCATTGACTATTGTGACTATATTGGCTTTCCTTATTCATGCTGTTACCTTTTAAGTCAATAAATTCTTAAACTGCGAGAGTTACAGCCTATTTTAGGTACTAAGTTCTATGGCTGTAACGTCCGCAACGCCATAAAAGTGGCAACATCTCAACAAAATCTCGTAACGTTTATTTGAGATGGATATTTTATTGAAAAGTAGATTCAATGAGACGTTACCAGGGCTAACCAGAATTCAGATAAAATAAATAGTTTCTATAAAAATTGTTGTGAACCTCAATATCTCTCGAACGAAGAAAGATATCGAGGTCCGGTTTCGACGAAAAATCGTCTAAAATTGCATACTTCAAGATTCTAAAGATCGAAATCCCGATATCACATTTTTCAGTGAACATATGTGCTTTTTTCCAGTTTTTAGGTCTAGAAAATTTCTTTTAAACGAGAAATTTACAAAGATATCAATTTTTTATTTGAACCAAAACCAGTTTTTACTTGTTCGTCTTTTTCCGCATCCAACAAGTGGTCCATTAAGCTGGGGAACCAAACGGTTCCGGAGTTATGATCGATTGAAGTTACCGCTCAACGCGCGCCGACCGATTTTCGCGCGCCAAAAAGTCGGATTTGACTCTTATTAAATCAGATTGAATGTTCTAACTGAGCAAAATGCATT